ACAACATATTCGTATCAATAGAGAGCACGCTGACGGCAGTTGATGTGGAAAGCGCTTTTGGTCCTATACAAACCACAGCCAGAGTAGTTTTCATGACTGGGCGAGGAGAGAATTTTCATCGCCAGCAAGTCTCCTGAGCAGAAAAGAGTATTGTCACGGCTAGCCAAGGGAAGCGCGGTTCTTCCGGTGGCCGCAAGGTGGCGCCTTCAGAGACGCCGCAGGTGTAAGGTCAAAGTGATAACCTCCTTTTTAATCCTCCTTTTATCTGTATAAAGTTTCCCCTATGCTCTAATTTGGACATCGGTCGTCCACATTGCATGAGGAAGTATTTGGAGATCCGGGAAGCTCCTCGCGAGAAGGGCGAACCAGGAAATGATTGCATGGATGTGCGCTGCGAGAAGGGGGTCCTTCGCGAGACCGCCCTTAGGGTGGGATAATACCCCACTAGAGAGCCCTGGTCTGACAGCACCATCTGGTGGCTGGTCGCGGATCCACTCAACCCCTCGATCTTCTCTTCTACCTCCTCACCTGAATGAAGCAACAAGCATCTCTACCGACAATCGAGAATATCTATACTTCTTTCTGTATATGTCACTTTTCCCCACTTCATATCCTTCTTTTCTGTAAAGGGCATGCCGAGTAAATAAAGGTGATTTGAACAAACTAAAAAAATTAGGATGGGAGAAGAAAGTGAGAGTGAAAGAAAGATCTCCTTTGACCTAACCCAAGAGCGGGCCTATTTCTTCTACCTGTCCTACCTAGTTCTCTTGCGCCAGATTAATAAAGTATTATTGTTATTGTCACCTGTCACCTGGCCCATGATTTCCCGCACACGCTAAATGAAAGGATCCCGTCACAGTATGAATGACTTTCCATCTTCTGTCGGATTCACATTGCTCTCATCTTAGATATGATGCTATCACCCGCCTTCTTGTTGCGGCCCTCCCTTAACTTACCACCCTCCTCTCGTCAGGCATCGCACTATTGTCTTGGTAGGGGTTGGAATTCATGGCTACTGTTCTTCCCATACGCGGAGGAAGGTGACAGTGATAATCGAGTACGGATGGGCGCGAATACGTAGCCACAACATGGGAGCACGCTTGGTGGAAAAGGTATTCGACTTCACTCGAGGTCATACAGATGGCTTGAAGCAACCGCATTTCCCCTTCTGGAAGCTTCGGGAAATTCAAATACTATATACACTTTTTAGATGTAGTACAGGTCTTGAACTAATCCAGGAAGTGAGCTTGTTCGTACCTCTTTCTAGAATTTCTCGACTAAATGGGAATGTAGTCGTAAAAAACCTCTCCATTTCATCCAATATCTGTTAGTGAAGGGAGACAATCAGTCCTTCCTCGACATGCTTCTTATGTATGCGTCATCCGACCAGAATGCCCTGGCCGTTTCCTTATCCTAACCTTACGTAATATTAACGATGACATCGCATTGATCACAACTCATCGATATTAACGATGACACTATGAGTGTCCAGTATAAAAAGAATCTATTGGGAAAATACGAGTGTCATTCAGGAGGTTCTGGAATTTCTTTGTAATTTCTGGGTAACTTCTTCATTAGTCACCATTGTACTGTGACTTTTCAACATAGTCCTCCCTAAGTTCGACGCACTTCCTCCAGCGTGGAATCAGTATACTTAGACCTTCGGAAATATTTTTTTTTTGGGAGTGTTTCTGATCCACCTGTTGAGTGCAGTTTCATTGCATTGAGGTAATGAAAACGCTCTCCTCACAAAGGCTTCTTCATCTCGCCGAAGAGGTGGTAGTCCCTGAGAGCCAGATCTGGCAAGTAGGAGAGATGCGGGAGCAATTCCCACCTCAATTCTGCTATGGCTGCTCTACTTAAGCGCGCGGTGAGGGGCCTTGCATTGTCCAGCTGAAGAAGTGGCCGTGAATGCAATTTACACAGTGTTACAGCGTTAGCGGCGGAAAAAAAAATTTGCCAAACGAGGTTCAAGAAGAAAGTATTAAATTAATAAATTTATCCAAACCGAGTGTTACTTGGGGAAATGTAAATCCCTTACAGTTCGCGACACCAACCAGGGTCGGTTCTTCTATATCTCCCTAACAAACAAACAACTGTGCTCCATCTCCAGATTTAATGCCTAATTTTCATAATGAACATTTGTAACGAATAATTGCAACATGCAATTATGCTTAGATTTTTTGCGCCTATGCCATACCCACCTTCAATGCCTCTGAGTCGGCTTTGGTTAGTGTGTTCGATTCACTGCCTCACGTGGATGTCATAAGGCTGGGCATTTCCAGTGAATAAAGATTTGGCAAATTAGTGAAATCGTTGCCTTTCTGTTAGACTGGCAAGCCTCAATCGAGGCTACGAAATATGTTCGACCCCGTGACGAATAAGAAATGAAGCCCAGTTAGGTGGAAGGGGAAGCTAGGGGAAGTGAGCGATACCCTTGGGCTATAGTCTACCGACGTACGTCGTGTCAAGGTTCCCCTGTTCTCCCATAGCTCGAAGATATGAATGTCTTTCCCGAACTTCTCACTGAGTGAATTCGTCAGGGGGTCGAACATGGTTTGCAGTGCAAAAGAAAACTTGGCCGCAAAAAAAATATAAAGAAGGGTAGTTCGGATTGAAATCACGATCATTTCCGCAATTCGCATACATTTTGCTCATTTTGGCGGCATCGACCAGGACGATCGCATTTCCATTGCAAATCTATTGCTTTTGCACGACCTCGTTCGATCCGAGCCATCGAACGACGATCGAAAGTTTACGTCTTCGCTTCCCTCAGTCTCCAATTCTTCTCGAATTTTGGCCAACTTCATTGGAATTTACTTTCTGGCTTTCTTGACGGATTTCTCGACGGACTGGCGGATTTTTTTTCTCTGCAACTTCTCTTTTATTCTATTCAGTAGTTTTTTTTTTGGGTCAATGTGATTGACGGTGAATTTCCATCTTACTGAGCCCCGGGGAGGGGGGGGGGGAAGGAAAGTGGAGGCAAGGGGGAGGAGGGTAGAGGCAGGGAGGAGGGGGGAGAGGACGGAGATTAACGGTCTCACTCGCTCAAAGGCCCACTTCTTGAATCGCACACGGACTCTAACAATGCAAGAAGCACATAAAGTTGAGAGGCGGGGAGACGCTATGCGACATTTATGAAACATTTCTCACTAGCTCAATTTTGAGGAAAATTAGGAACCCAAAATAGCATGTTAATGAATTGCGCTCACCAAAAAAACATCATAGAACATCTTTTCTAAATATGAGAAGGACTTGGCAGCCTCTCTTTTGTTGATGCTTTTTCCGACCCTGGTTGGTGTCGTGGACAGTTAGTATGAGTTTAGTATCAATAAAATGTTGAAGATTTAGGTTGAAGAGAATATATGGAAAACATTTTAATATTACCTTCGTCCCAATTACTCTGGAACTGTCCTAGAGAGATGCTATTCCAATTTGAGCTAACTCTCCAGAAAATGGGCTCTAGGCTGTTACAGATCTCTCAAGTATTTCGGCCCACCATAGACAATGAAAAGGAGCATCTTCTGATGCGACCATAAAGATGATTCCAAGTGGAAATATTAGGGTCAAGAGACGATTCACGAATCATCTTCCGGTAGGGAATGAGAGCAATTAATGAAACAAAAGTCGAGCGAAGGCAACAGGAGTGAGAGAGGTTGGAGATAAATAGGTGGGTTTTATTTGCTTGGATTCAGCTGGTTATCATTGTCCACATTTGGATTCATTGCTGCTAAGCAAGAAAACAGAAATAATGATGAATTCCACCAAAATTTAGTCGCAACTTTTGAAAACATACCCTCTCAAGCTTCTCAAGAGAAAACCGTTCCAAAATAGAGAAATTCGAATATTTATGTGCACTAACCCCCACCTTTTTTCGTGTCCATGAAGACCCGTGCACACGCAGATTGAAAGAGTACTTGGAGACCTTTTGGATCCTCTCGTGCAAATACATGCCCCATTTCATGAATGTTCTTGAGAATTTCTTCCTCACTTCATCACTTCTCTGGCCGCGGATGAATGCAATGCGTTTCAAGGATTCCTGTTCGGCAAAAGTTCGTAACATTGGCTGCAGTGAGAACGAAATTTGGCATCACTGGAGTGGTGTGGCGCATGGTAGGGTAGGTCGAACACTTGCCATACGATGACAGACACCCTTGCATGAGTTGCCTAATTCTCATCTGGTGATGAGAAAGTGCTTAGACCAAACTAGGAAAAGAATCCGAGCCTGCTTCTAAGTGTCTGCAGACCAACATTCGCCAACGATGAAGGTAATATTATTTTTTATAGCATAGGACATCGTTAGTGAAGAAGCACTTAAACAAATAGGACAGAACTTGAACCGCTCTAAGGCAGTGTTTCTCAAACAGTGTGCCGCCAGTAAGGCTTAGCCGTGCCGTGGGATTTGAGAGTTTACAAAAATAAAATAAAAACATAAAACTAAAAAACTTAAAAACAAGAGGGAAAGCCATCTATCAGTGGAAAAAGAGTTGAGAGTTGCACTATCACGCCTCGTATCAAACTGATGTGTTCAGCGAAGCAAGCACAAGTTTCCCATTGAAAGTAAGTAATTGGCTGTGTGTGCCGTGGAAAGTTCAATTGTCCTTATGTGTGCCGCAAATGAAAAAAGCATTGGGAATCACTGCTTTAAGGTTTCGGAAAGGCAAGTGCTTCGCTGGATCAGATAGAAGTTCTTAAAGGCAAGGGGCAGCATGACTTGCACTTGAGGAAGGGAACCCCAACACGAACACCCGCACTCCTGAGAGATTTGGTGATTTCAGCTACAAACCACCAATGTTGTCATTTGGAAAGGAAAACTCCCTTTTTCACCAGCAGCGTGACATATGTGAACACTACTGAGAATCACGTTCAGACATCGGGGGAGGAAAGCTGCGAGGGAATGGTGACGATGATCATGATGAAGGCAGCATGGGTGATTTCGGAAATATCTTGAACGTTGATTCAACAAGAGTGGGAGAAAAAAACATGGTGGTTTCTCGATATCAATCATTTTGGCAGAGTTTGATATCACAGGCTTCCCATCTGGGATTTCTTCCCAATCCGTTGTAGCACCAAGGACCTCCAGCGTAGCCATCAGGATTTCGACAGAAGTTGTGGGAAGGGTGCATTTCATCCGGAAAATACTGTAAAAATTTATTATCGCTGAGCTTGTTTGGCGTATGGCTCAACCACGGCTGACAAGGGAGGCCCGAGACGGTCACGTTCTTCGTTCCCTTGTATTCCATTCCTATCGTTGTCTCCTTACATTCAAGTGGCGCTGAAAAAAAAAATCGTTACGAAAATGATTTTAGAAGTGCTGGATAGAAACCACTGAATGAAGTCGCTATAGACATCGCAGTACTAATGCATACTGGTGCTCCTGAAGTCTACATGCGTCTATCCACATTTATATGTAGACGATCGTGTGTGAGTGACTGACGCTAATTCTAACCATGAACTGCAGTATGAGTGAAAAATCCGGAGTCAATGGGAAGTGTTGAATTTACCCTATATGGCTGCCATTCCTTATTATTCACAGTTCCATCCGCCGTAACCTCTCGTCTTTCGTCAGTTCCATATTGCTATAATTATAAATAAATCAAATTTCTAAGGATAGGCAAGCAATTATTACGACAATCAAATTTATTATTGATTCCAGACATTTGGCTCATACTTTATATATGGCAGAAACATGAAACTTGATACATGGGTAGCGATTAGGATGCTGAGTTCAGAATAAATCAGATTTTGGAGATACATGCCCTGGGGACATATTTTTAGGAAGAGACGTTTTGCAAGAATTTGTTTTGCTCCAGTGAATCGGGCAGGAGTAGAAGGTGAAACCCGGCACAGAAATAGCTGATGTTCAGAAAAACTTGATTACGATGTTCATACCCAAGTAGCGCAAAAGTATTGGGCAATAAGCGGCTCAGGCACAGGCACTTGTGGATTTCTGCCGGGGGCGGGAACGTGGCGGCAAGTTGGGCAAGCAGTTGCTGGCCCGCTACCTATTGTAGGTAGGAGGCCCTCCACCGGTTCAGGGTGGAGAATGTAGCTAGCACTCCCCTAGATGCAGTACCAAGAGTCCCCACTAGATGGTACCTCCGTTCTCTGCACCCTACAAATGCAATGAAGTATCTGTCTTCCTGATTTAGCAGAAGTGTTTCTTCCTCGTTTTCCCTTTTTTAATGTGCAATTTATTAACAAGTACTAGGAAATCGTGCAATTATGATGTTTTGATTGCAATATAATATTTGGGGAATTATTACATGCTGAAGTTATGTATGAGAATTCAGAAGTGTACTGGTCTAGGGTAAGGTAGAGAAACTGGGTTTGCAATGTCAAATTGTGTATATGGTATGAGTTGGTACTCGATGAATTCTGCTTCTCTCTTCCTTCAGTGGTCCATTTTGGATGCGGAAGAGGAGAGCAGTGGGACATCTTTGTAATTTTGAGTACTCTTCTGAGTAGGCTCCAGAGCCATGATTTATAGATAATGCAGATAAGTATGGAGACTTTAGGACCATTCCCAGCTGATCGTACACCACGAACGAGCTAACTGGTAACGTGCTGGCCCCTAAGCGTACCGGAAGGTGGTTAGCCAGTACTGGCAAGTGGGTCATGCAGCTGGTGGCCCTTAACCTAGTCAAGGTGATGGGCCACCAACTCTCTTCCCCAAACGTATTTGGTGGCCCACCACCTATGCGCTACTTGGGTACCCTCAGGAAGATATATTTGATTGGGACCATTTCCCCAAAGACATATTCACTCCAGCGACATGGGCAAAAATAAAAAAAACATGTATTTGGCAATGAAGTTATTCTTTGGGACATAAGAAAAATTACAATTTTGAGGTATACAGTATGTTCTTAGGCCATATCTTTTGGTGGGCAAGAATTTCTCAGAATTTTTTGCAACAGAAAAATGGAAATCGAGAAAGCAGAAATCTATACTCGAGCAGTTCCCACATTCTAATTTCATGGAATTTTTACTCTTAGGTTCATCCTCTCAGGGCAGAGTTTTCAAGAGGGACGTATTTGAAATTAATTTCTTTGTTTCATAGAAGCGGGCAAATATTTAAAGTGGGAAATTTTATTTCACACGATCAGAATTAACTTGAGGCCACAATGAAAAATGCTTGTGACTCAAGGAGTTTTACCACATGCATTGGTAGGTGTGAGAATAAAAACCGGATGTTTAAAATACATTAGAAATTTCATTAGAGCGCCGAAGTTTTAACACGTTGACGACCAGCCTATTTTTGCTTGTCCGCCGCGTGGGACCACGCGTGGGACCACGCGAGGGCAGGACGCAAAAAATGCGTCCTGCCCTCAGGACGCATGGTCCCAGAAAACATTTTTTTTTTGCCGAGTTTTTTTTTAAATGTTGAATTTTTTGGAATTTTTATCAGTAATTACGAAATCATAATCTTCTGGAACGTTCTCAACAGTTCCAGAGGGTATTCATTGGAAAAAAATCTGCATCCTGGCATCAGGACGCATTGTCGCCAACGTGTTAATATATTTTCTGCGCAAGGCTCAACTACTGCAAGGCAGTGATTCATTATGGAAAATGGATAATTAAGATTCGCACTGTAAGATCACATTCCCTAATTATATAATGATATTATCAAGATCGAGATGTCATCTGGCTTGGAAATATGGTAAGTCTTGACTTGCTGGGTAAAGCTTGTGAAATTGGAGAAGTAGGAGGAGCACTAAAGCTTGAGCACGTCTCTCAGAAGAAAATCGGTTTATGGCGAGGGACAATCGTTCCATTCTCAATACTGAAAAAAACTTTATTTGGCTTCCTTTGGATCCAGTGGACTGGAGCGGCGACATAGGAGTCCTGTCAATTACTAAGGCGATGTGCAGAGAGTGGGTGGAAGAGGAAGTATTGTTCCTGAATGAAAGGGGGAAGAACTTTTGGCTCATTAGCGTGGGAAGATGTTGAAGATGAGAAGGTAGGTAATGACATAATGAGGCATGAACATTTAATAATCCCATCAGGGAACTAGCTCCCTCTCTTCGGGTCAGGTGCACTTTGGTTCTAGTTAACCTTCACTCTCCAGCCCTCCTGCAGCTTTTAGAAGAAAAGTTATTTCTTTATTTCTCGGAATCGCAATCCCTTATCTCCGATGTGTCCGAGATTTCAGTATGCACACAACTACTGGACAGCTACAAAAGAGAATCCCAGGTCCCACCATTGTTAGCTCCCATGCTGCTGGTATGTAGAGCAACCAGGTAAAATTGGGATGGCCTGAAGTTTTGCTTTCGGAAAATTGTTTTGTGTTATAGTACGAATTGAAAGCGCCCTCCACGTTTTTCACTCAATTTTTTGATCGAGTACTCGCTTTTGAGTTTCCATCACTTGCATTTGAATTTCACATTTGAAAATCCGACACGAACATGGGTAAAAATTCATGAGCGTTCCGGTCCCTAATCGTTAATTCTTATCCTTAAAGATTAAATCATCTTGAAGAATGATTTCCACAAATTAAAAAAAATAAAGATTTGTTTCTGTATCGGTGCTGAAAGAACCTTAGAAGCTGCCATTTTTGCACATACCTCCTTGTTATAATATTTCACATGTTTTCATAGCTGTCCTGAATACCATTTCTGACAGAGTATAGGGAGCAAGTGAACACTCACTGATGCATCTATTCGCAATTCGAATAGTGCAGTTCCTGCCGTCAGACAGTGGACAGAACGGAACGTTGCAATATTCCCATCCGTTTGGAGAATCGTAGGAGTAACACCACGGACCCCCGAAGCCTTCTGTTGGATTCCGACAGAAATTGTGACTCCCGTCCAGTTCGTCGGGAAATGCAGACAACAAATTCCATTGGCTGTGACTCCGAGGAACCGAGGTTAACCAACGTTGACACGGGAATCCCGAAATCGTCGTATTCTGCTTTCCCACGTATTCTCCTCCCATCGCCGTCAGCTTGCATTCTCGGGGAGCTAAAAACGTTTAGGAAGAAAGTGACCGTGGGCGATATTCCACGCGCGGAAATGAGAAGAATGAAAGTGTAAAGTCGAGAACCAACTGCGATCCTTGCAGAGAGGGATGTCACAGTATTCCCATTGGATCACGGGATCGGAGACGAAGCACCAAGGTCTTTCTCTGTATATCCCTGGGTTCCGGCAATAATTTTTGTGAAACGAAGGATTCTGATTGATGAAGAGTTCTTCGTAGAGTTTCGTTTGATCGAAGAAATCCCAAGGTTTGCCGTAGGGGTTTTCATCCCATCGAAGGCAAGTCTTTCCTGTCTCCGTGTTTGCCTTTTTCCCCACGTATTCCCTTCCCTTCTCCGTCAGTCGGCATTCTGGATACACTGACTTTTCTCCTGTTCATATATGGTTAACAAATGGTTATGACTCGACTGGGCTAGAATCTTTCGATGGGAGTAGATAATTGCCCGTGAGAATGATTTACCTGTGCTTCTCTTCCTAACGAAATTGTTGCCCCCAAGTCAAGCGATACATTTTTCGGCATTATCTTTTCTCAATGCTGTACACCGAACTTTTTTCCATTGAGATTGTTCTGCAGCGATCATAATAAATGTTAGTCCGACATTGCGTGGTCTAGAGAATATGATGGATGGGCAAGAATTTACCAATTCAGTTCCCTTAATTTTTGTTGAATCTTCATCGCCACAGATGGTTGCGCATTGTCTCAGTGGAATACCACGCCCCTTCTGTTTATTTTCATTTTTATATTTGATTGAATAGATATCTTGCAGTGTTCGAGGCCCGTACGGATATGGTCTTTAATGAGACAGTGTTAATAATTTAAAGTTAAACACCCCGTCCACTCGTGGTAATTCACCACTCGCCGCTTCCGATTAGTGTGTAAAAAGACGTGCTGAAGCACGTGAGTATAGAGGGCAGGAACAACCATTTCTAGCCATTTCTCATGTTCTCAAGTTGAAACGGAGCTGCGACTAGTAACACAGAGTCATCAAGTGAGAGATCGAGAAGGCATCAAAAAGTTTAGCGTATGCGAAAAAGCAGTCCTTGGTTACTTCTTACAATGTATTCCGATCAAACTTAAATTCATGTCAAGTTTAGAATACGTTTAGATTTAGATCGAAGTAAGCAAGGTTTAGGATGAGGCTACTGAGATGAATTCACTCTGCCTTCAGACCGACTTGGATTCAAGGCTGGCCAGCCCAGACATGCAACATCGTGCCAAATCGGAGCATCGAACCGATCGAGCCGATCCATACAAATGAAAAAAGGAATAATGACAACGTTGCTAGAAGCCCTCATTAATACAGACGGAAAAATTGGTGGACACTTGGGGCTGATACACGCCACTACAGCCCAAGTGAACGCTAAAATCAAATTCATAAGGATAAGTCAATTAAGTGTGTCCATTATTGCCATGGTTATGTTCCATCTAATCAAAAGTATTTATAACATTTTGGGAACTGAGTGTTTGAATCCACGACTTTGACTGCTCGGTTTTCTCAAGTCTCTTATGAAAACACATTTTAAATTAAATTTTTGTACTTGCTAAATTCCATTTGCCATCAGATTTCTTTCTCCAAATTCAAATTTACCGATTTTCATTGAAGAATGAGTGCAATGTTTGAGCCGATTTTGGAATAGGGTAACTTGGGGGAATATGGACAGCAAAAATGAAATCAGGTTATAGCGTCACGTCTAGGTGAAATGAAACTTTGCCAATATTCAGAAAATATTGATTGATGTCTCCTTTATTTATTCCCAACAAGATCCGTGCAGGAAAGTAAATGGGAAAATAGTATTTTGGACCTCTTCACATGGGTCACAAGAGGCCATATTCCCCCAAGTTACCCTATACTCTAAATCGCACTCTTCCATCCAGTCCCTCATTTCCCCACAAGGCCATTTATTGGAGTTATTTCCGTCACAATTCACAGCCTACAATGATTCTGGAACTTCTACCGCTTCATTCGGTCGATTCTACGTCATCCTCCCACGTTTTACTCCATGCTCCCATTCTCCAATATTTTTTTTTTCTATTAGATGTTTTCCTCCCCCTCTTGCAGATTGCCATCTCGCCATGGCATTATAGCCAGTCTCGAGGGGCCAGACCCCAGACTAATGGGTCTGGAAGACTGATATAAGCAGGAAAACCAGTCTCATGCCCTCGAGGGATTCCTCATAGACGCAATGAGGTCCATTTGCTTCCATCAATCCCGGTATCATTTTCTCGTTTCCATTTAGTCCCTTGATCTGCCTGATTTCCTGTCCCGTCTCCATCAGACACTTGACGTTCCCGTTTAAATTCTCTTGACGTCCCAGGTCTCACTTTCCTTGTTTGTTTTTTTTTTTGTCAACAAGAAAAGCATTTTTTTCTCGTCCTGGCACATGCCGAACTGATGAATCTGCAACAGACTTCTCACGGTTCAGCTGACAGCGTGTTCCAGAATGTGCATGCTCAGACTATGTAAATGAACCGTGGAATGACGCAATGCAGCCCGATGAGTGCAATGCCATTCTTTTCCTCATTTTTCTCCTTTCCTGCTTTCACGATTTCCAAGGCAGCCTCTTCCGTGTGATGGAAGAGGTGAATACATCCCATCGCAAAGCTTTCCTCTGGTGTTTGCTTTCTCATAGAGATTTTATGGACTAGACGGAAAGCATGGCTGAGTGTCTATATATCGCTCGAACTTCAACGAGCACGATCAATTTTCATCGGGTGTGCGACTTCTCCGTTTCTTTTTTTCGCTCCTCTTCTAAGCTGATGCATGTTTCAGCTCTTGTTGAAAATGGCTATAGAAGCTCTGTTCGGCATTACCTTCTCTGAAACTGATCCCTTTCCCTAACCTTTGATATGCTGCTTTGATCTGACATGTGGAATAAAATGAGACCAGATGTGGACAACGTGGGCAAGACATGTCCAGTGCTGGACCTCCTTTCGCTGCCTGTTCGGAATATTAGGATGTGACAGGTACTACAGGTCGGTAAGTCTCTCAAGCATTCCGCGGAGGATCATGGAAAGCAAAGAGATCACATATTGGCATTCCTTGAGGGGAACTCGCACATGACTTGTCTTACCAATTTTCTTGAATTTTTCAATTAGATGACAGAAAAAATGAATAAACCCCTTCAGACCTTTAAATGGCACTCCACATCCGTGATGTAACTGTTCGGCACTTCGTTACAGCAACGAGTCAGGCTCGTTATTAGGTCCCAATGGGTTAAGGCAAGGGTGTCAAACTCGATTAGGCTGGGGGGGGGGGGGGGGGGGGGGGGATAGTTCCACGGTCATGAGTCAAAGAATCGTATGCATATGACTTTTAAGACATCGATGTATCCCGAATTCCTGTGGGAACTGGAATGATGAACAGGTCTACACATTTCGACAATTGCATGTACTCTTCGATAGAACTATTTTTTCAATTCGCCCAAACGAATTATTCAGTCTATGAGGGGATTCCTTGTGGAGGGCCATATTACCCTAATGACCATAGTCCCCCAAGTTACCCTATGCACTGCATACCCGAAATATTAAAACGAATATTGCATCAACAGATGAAAGGAACGTCAAACTTGAATGATGGGATTAAATAATTTTATTCTAAAGTTGTATGCTTCTTTAGGATGACAATAAAGTCCCTCCCGCGAAGTTTGACGCCAGTACCCAAGCAAGTACTCTTTTAGCATTCCGTTTTGAACTCATAAAATTGCGAGCTATAGCGCGAAAACAATTTTTGAATAGTTTTGATTTGAAAAAGGATAAAACAGTTACTTTCAAAAACCATTGCGTCATTCCCGTCATTCTTTCGTGCAAGTTGTTCTATTGAGAAAAGTGCAACTGTCGCTATTCTTGCCAACGAATACAAGTTTGCAATCCTATGAACTCTGCAATTCAATACTTAATGGTATGAAGGAATATGTGATAATTCAGGTTTTACCAGTGTTAGGAGTGCGTGGAACGTAATCGGAAGAAACGTAATATACGAGGGTCACTCAATAAGTTATCTACCTGAATAAGAAAGAAAAATCCGAGGGGAAAAATAACACTTTATTTTTCAATGTACTCACCTTTTAACTCAACACACTTATTCCACTTTGATTCCAAGGATTTTATTCCCTGGGAATAGAAGTCAACTTCTTGTCCATCAAACCAATCAGAAACGGCAACTTCCAGCTCTTCATTGCATGAAAATCTTTCTCCCCGCAAAAATTTTTTCAAGTGTCTGAACAGAAAATAGTCACTAGAAGCCAGATCCGGGCTGTAGGGAGGATGGTTCCGCTCCTGAAAGCCACACTCCCTCACTGCTGCCTGAACTTTCCATGATTTGTGGACGGGCGCGTTGTCATGGAGAAGAAGGACCCCCCCTTGACAACTTTCCTCTGCGTTTTTCCTCGATGGCATCGTGTAAATTTTTCATGGTGGTAGCATAGGAATCGCCAGTGATTGTACACTCGTCTGGCATGAACTCGAGCAGCAGTAGTCCCTCGCTGTCCCAAAACACAGTGGCCATAATCTTTCCTGCAGATTTCTGAACACGAAATTTGCAAGGCGTTGGCGATCCCTTGTGCTTCCACTGCATAGACTCCTGCTTGGTTTCGGGATCCCAGTGATGAACCCAAGTTTCATCACCAGTTACTACACGTATTCTGGGAAAAAAAGTTTCCCCGATTTGTTTAAAAAACTCCAAGTTTTCCTCGCAGATGTCAGATCTGTTCTTCTGAGCTGGAGTCAGCATTCTTGGGACCCATCGAGAACTGACTTTGGTCATGTGTAATTTTTCATGAATAATGTGAATCACTGTGCCCTCTGAAATCCCCAGTTCATGAGCCAAAACAGAGACGTTTGGTGCAACGATCCTCCAGTATCGCACTCTCCAATTTGTCACACATTTCCTGATCAGAAGCCTCCACAGGGCGCCCCGATCTTGGCTCATCTTCAATCGACTCTCTTCCCCACTTAAACTGCTTGCTCCAAAATTTTACTTGGTAATAAGAAGGCGAAGACACACCATAAACGTTAGACATATGTTCATGAATCTCCTTAGGTGCTTTCCCTTCTTTGGTGAGGAATTTGATCACTGAACGATGTTCAACTTTCGTCAAATCCATGAGACAGACTCAGGAAAAGAAATCTAATGCGCTACAACTTTGAACGGACTTGAGCCACTGAGCTGGTGTAGTGGTGGGGCACTCACGAGACCTGTCGAGACATGTCACAGCAGGCACAGGACTGTTGCTCATCCCTTTCATATTCAGGTAGATAACTTATTGAGTGGCCCTCGTACATCAAAGAGGTAAGTGGAGTAAAAAAAACAATTTGCACTTCCAGAAATTCCGGAGTTTAAATATTGATATTCACTTAGGTTTTTGCATTTTGAGGCTGGGAATCGGCCTGACGTGAAGGGCTGTATTTATGGCACATTTTAGGTTGATGACCTCTACCCTTGAGAAAAGTCTTCCTATCGGATACAAACTCGATCTATCTCGGTCTCGAGCATATTTACAACAATTTCATTTTGTTACTTGCCGTCACGTCCTATTCAATCAGCCATATAGCATTCACCTGTTTGGGATTCCAATTCCTGGCATGGATCGGAATTCTGGATGGGACAGAAGGGGACATCGCAGAACTCCCACTTCCGCCCCAATTTCATGCACCATGGAGCCGCTTTCCCATCTGGATTCCGACAGAAGTTGTGCTGCTCGTCCATCTCATCTCCGTCGGAGAACAAAGAGGAAGCTAAGAAGTCCATGACACGCTCACTCGACCAGGACAGACACGGGGAACCCGAGATGGTGGCGTTATTCTTCCCCACGTATTCCCCTCCTTGTTGAGTGACCTTGCACTCTGGCGTCTCTACTCGGAGGAAACGCAGACGGGTGTCGCACTCGTATGCTAAAATGTTTGCAGATAAAAACTGTACAATATTGTTAAGAATATGAAACTCTAACACGCATACCACGTAATCCATAGAGTATATTCAGGCTTGCTTCCTTCGTTTTCGTCTAAGTTCATCCGATCGATTTGCCATTGCCAACGAGTCGGTGAGAGAGGCTTTTGGTAACCCCGATGAGGAGTTAATTTATTAATTCATGGATATACAAATGACTCAATGTACATTAGATGTCACCTACTGTGATAGCTGGTTTGCGTCATGCGCCGGAAAATGGAAATCAAGCGTTAAAAAAATCAGAGCTATATCCCCTAGTTCATGAAAATGTTATTTCTGTTCAATTTATCGTCTCCGACAGCGATCATGATCGTATATGTCTTGACCACTCTATGTCATAAGTTACCGAAGGGAGAAGCAAATTTGTAGAAGGTGAATCTCTCTCTCGGGTTGAGGGAGAAGAGTCTTCCTGATCATAGCGAGAGACCTGGAAACGACCTTGGTTAACAATGAAATCCAAATGATAGCCCGGAGACCAAAATTGAGTACCTAGTAACGGCAGCTCAGACGACTTTTGATGAATTCTTTTTCTAATTTGTAAGTTAAAAGTTCTTAATTTTGAGTTTTCATGATTTTTAGCCTTTCGTTATTAACGTCTTACTGTTATTAAATAAAATGTTATTAAATACCCTTACTCCAATATGATCACAACAAGCAGCGTCCTCTATATCACCAACGGATTGCCTACGGCTGGGTATTGTCCCATGGTAACATTGCATGAAGCTTAGTTTTTCTGTCACCTATTTTCTCAAAAAGAAGATCTTAACTCTCTCCAAGTGGAGACTCTTTACCGTGCAGGAACCCTGCTGAAAGACTTACTTCTTTCGGGGCACATTGGGATATCACAGTATTCCCAAACGACGCTGGAGTCGGCAACAAAACACCAAGGTCTCTCCTTCGCAGACGGATTTCGGCAATAGTTCTTGTGAGACCAGATATCCCCGTTCACGAAGTATTCCATATTTCCTGTTTCGTCGCTGGCATCAACTGGTTTCTCATACGGATGGGAGTCCCACCTGAGGCACTCCTTCCCAGTTTCTGTTTTGTTCACCTTCCCGACGTATTCTCTCCCCTTCTTGGTCAAGCGGCATTCTGGATACGCGGTCACCTTATCCTCGCCTAAAAATTATGCGGGTAAAAATAATACGAAAATTGAATCCTGAATAGAATAAAGTGCACGAGGAATGAGAGATAAATTTTATACGTAATTTACAACTAAAAGTGTATTTCATACATAGCTGTAGAAGTAATAGAAAAATGTTCACGGCGCCTAAAGTCTTTGGCTTTTATGCCAAAAATCTTGGATTTTACACTTCTGTTTGGTTTCGTTGTAGTGGGAAGTAGGGCTTCAAATCACTCACATCCGTGACGTTGATAATGAAAAATCTTATTACAGCGTTATACCCAAATCTGTCAAACTTAGAATCGTCTGTCCGGGACTCAAGAGTAAGCTAATGGAGACTGAAAAGTGGGCATCGACTTTAACCTCGTGCCAAATGTAAAACTACCGCTGAGCCTATGCCCCCACAAAGCTAAAAATGTTTGATTTCTTGCTGTTAAAACTTTTTTTTTCCATTCACTCATTGCAGTGGAATTTTCCTCCTCGAGCACATTCATGACAGCATTATTAAAAAGGTTTATTTGCATTGACGTTTCCTTACGCAACATGCTCCCAACCCAAAAGTCTCAACCGCTTAATATTACCCTCGAATGTCTCTTAATGGACTAACTCACAAGGTGGGTTAGTATATATATCCACATCTCAGTGAAAAAAAATGGAATCAACTCGAGAACTAAGACCTACCCGCTGAAATAAGTGGGAATGCCTTCCTTCTCTCCAGTCGCAAGATGGCAGAAGCAGTTGCATCTCATGAAGGAAGCTAAACCTCGAAAGAGACATCTATTTGCCCTCAATGCCTGCGACCTATCGCATATCACAATCCTATCCCCGCGGATCTGTCAGTGACTGAAGTCATCCAATGTTTCGATTGAAACTGAAAATGAAATTTCCTATCTTGTATGTTTTCACTTCATGGAAACAGAGATACCACTTGAAACATCACACGAATAATATGACAACAAAACTAAATTAAGATCGCGCTAACGAGAAACATGAACATGTGTAAACTGGGGTGTTCGGTCAATTCCCCGATTGTCAATTCCCCGAATGGTTATTTCCCCGACGGTCAATTCCCCGACAGGGCAGTTCCCCGAATGACAAATTCCGTGAACGGTCAGTTCCCTGATTACGGTTTTCCGATCTCACAGTCGCGGAAGGAGGGCTATCGACCGCATCCATCTCCTTCATGTCTAGGGGTCGATTTATAGTTCACGCCCTTGTTTGTCTCTGAAGAGGTACATCATTCACGATGTTTGCGATCACCTCGCGGGCTTGTCATTTTCCAGGTTCTGGAGCATGATGATGTCCTCGCCTGCTGACAACCTGCTCTTTCAGTTGTAGCTCTGAAATTGCAGTTTCAATTGTATCTTCTATAGAGGCACTCCCAATACGTTCTTCGTTCGTTCTTGCTCATCTTGTTCTGTGTGAGCAGATAGCCCTCAAGAACAAGAAGATTCTTGCCCTTTTCGCTCTTCACGAACTCCATGAATACACGAACTCTCACACTGTCCAAGAATTGACCACTTAATGATCTGATTCCTAAGCCATCAACTTCTCCATATAAACCCCCCCCCCCCCTTTTAGATATTAATAGACATCTTGTCGATCGTCTCATCTCTGGCGGTCGAGAGGATTATCTCACAACCGTTTCTGTCGCCTTTTCATCTTTTTCCCTTTTCCATTAGAATCTTTATCAATGATCTGACTAGCATTGCATCGGCAGCCATGTTCCATAAAGGAAAAAATTTTCCTTAGGTGGGAGGCGAAGAATTTAATGATTTCCTCCCCTCCAGGATTAGAGAAGATTTTCCCTTTCCTTCCATTTGCCTAGACCCCCCTCCCTTTGGTTCCGGTTCGGTTGGGGGGGGGGGGGCACAGCTTCCCCCCTCACTCCCCCATGCATGATGTGCGAGACAGGAAACTGTAATGGGAACAAAACCCTTTTCTTTTGGGGAAATCCAAAATGGGGAACTGACCGTTCGGGTAATTGACCGTCGGGAAAATAACCATTCGGGGAATTGACTGTAAACCGTAAACTGGAGACAGGAGGGAAAACCTAAGCGTCAACCTCATCGAAGCTGGGATGTCCTCGTCCGGATGTTTGGACTGAGATGAGAACTAAGAAGAGCAAATGGTCTAGGCATACTTTCTACTACGAGGGTAGTTATACCTTACATCCTGCCGCAAAATTCACCCTAAAGTAAATTCCTGATGATGAAAATCATTATATGACATGAAAAATGGACGCGCATTCTTACAAGCAGATGGGCAACGGACAGCTTCGGCCTGGAAGGTGGTGCACCAAGAATCAGGTGAGTTCGAGCAGCAAGTAGCCGTGTGCTGATGGGAGCCGTCTGTGAAGCCTTTGGGATTGGAACAGGTGAAAATGACCATCCCTTTTGGCGGCACTGGGAATTCTCCATCCCAATCCAGGTAAGAAACGTTCGAGTTCTTGATCCCTGGATACTGCGTCAGGCACATATCTTTATATAAAAAGTTGGGTAGATATCTGATAATAGGCGTGTGGAGACCCTTCCCTCCACCCTTGATGTTTAATTGAAAGTTGGTTGACATAGAACTTCTCAAGGGCTGTTTCAAATTCAGATTATTTTTTAATGAGTTGAGTCTAGAACAAAACAGTCCACTTTCTGCCTTGTGTTCAATTGACCCACGTTCAATTGCTTGAACGGAGTTCCTTAAATGTTATACCCATAGAATGACGGAATCAGTTCTGTCTCTTTGACCATTTAATGAGCTTCATTTCGCACCCAAATACTTGAACTCACTCTGGATGAAGGAGCTGTAGCCGTCGGCTGTCACCACATGGCTTTTCCCGCTAAGAACCAACTGACAGGAGCCATCAGATTCCCGATAATTAAAACCGTAGCAGGGTTTCGGTTTTTGTCCCAGGCACTTCATGTTGCAGGCCCCGAAATGAGGTTCTCGGGATACCATTGTCACGTTCTCATATCTCTCCCCAGGATGAACAGCGTGATAGACGAGGATGTCGTTTGAAACCCCACAACGAGTGAGGAGAAGTGCGACGGAGATCCGTAGATGGAGGACATCCATGTTTCCAAAAGTGTAGTCTCACTTGAACGTTCCTAGGAAATGAGAGGAATGAACAGAGACCACCGAAGTCGATCGATCGATCGATGCGGACGTCAATGGTGGCCCTAAAATGCCAGAATGACCGAGTTTTAGCAAAATTATGATCTTGGCCTGGATATCGCAGATATAGTAGTGCTAGATCAACTAGAACGTAATAATATCTCTTTCCACGAAAAAAACTGAAGGAAGGGGTATCCCCTCATTAGGAGAGAATCTCCCCGAATCCCTTTCAGGCGGAGCTACGCATGACCCTTCTCTCTCTCTCTCTCCCTCTCTCACTCTCCCTCCATCGAAGCCCTCATGCCCTTCACATGCCTTCTGGATTTTTCGTGATTGACGGCAACAAGCCCTGCTAAAAAAAACTCATGAGACCTCACTACTTTCTCCTGCGATTTGCGGCATATCTTACGATTTAATCTTCAATATACAGTGTAAATTTATTCCTCATGAGGTAATTCATGAGGTCTCCCGACCTTCTCATGAGGATTGTGTAGTTCGTCATGACACTTTGAAACGGTCTCATGGGGATCTCATAAGGTTTTTCTGCAGTGCACTACCGACGCGTGATGGCGACGATATAGCCATTCTGATGAGAATCCCCCTGATCTGAATGGAGCATCTCTCTTGTACTCTGTGTATGCGTTTTTTTTTTCTACATAGAACATAATGGGAGATACTTGATTTGTCATGTCCGAAGATGTCCGAAAAGGCATGTCCGAAGATATTCTCTCAGTTCAGGGAGACTCCAGACAAATCTGGCCCACAGTATGGAATAACGTATTGAGGATGAAGCACATTGGGAGCGTAAGGCTGAACAGCAAGAGGCAGCGAATGCTGAGCTCAGGAATAGGAGAGCCATGCAGCCTGCTGGGCAACTTGATGCAAGGAACGCAGCACTCAGGTGTCGAAAGTCGGTTGGCAGCCGGGAATTGAACCCTGACCTCTTACTTGCCAGTCAGGTGTGCTACCACTACACCACGGAACTCGGGACATTTTGTCAGGCCCCTCCATGTCACCTCAAATCACTACAGTCGTTTGTGCAGCGAGCACTGTCAGGCGGCACATTTTGCTGTAGAGTGGGGACATTTGTTTCACATTGCTGCCACAACGGAAAAGTGTTTTTGCTGCAACTCACACTTAACGCTCACACTGTTGTTCACTGGTGCTAATGTGGAGGCGAGGCATTTTCAGGAATGATTCATTAGTATTCTGCTGCACATGCGCTAAATTCCCTCTGTGCTGAAGTCGAACAAATTCTATGAAACGGCCCGTACTGTTTCAGAATCAGTGGTACCTGAACCATATGCTAATAACCCATGAGTTAATTGGTTATGCAAGAGTATTGAATGTGCTGGGAAGAAGTTGTGGCGGTGGATATCACCGCAACGCGCAAGGCCTACGAGACTGTATCATTTTAGGCCATAGGCTATGCCATCCACCACTCAAAGGGCCAGGTCTATTAGGCTATGGCATTCATGGCCATGGGCTAGACCATCCACCGTTCAAAGCGCCATGTCCATGGGGCTATGCTATTCTGGGCCAAAGGCTTGGCCATCCAACGCACTTAGCGCCAGGTCCTACATCAGTCGGACGTGGCGGTTCGCGCCATCGCTTCCATGCAATAGGTTTCTGTTTGCGTTTCATGTTATGGCCGATTTATTTGAGTTCTCGTGATTGATGAAGTTAAAAAAATAGTCTAAAATGTCTGTGCTTCATATGTCGCGCAAACGAAGTGCACCTCTTATCAAAATGGTGGCAATTTTTCTAAGGTGAGTTTGAACGGGAAGAAAAAATGTTGAAGGAGGACACACAGGACAGCGATGAGGCAGTTGTTGCTGGTAAAAAACGGTTGGTGCTGGATCGGAAACAAAGCTTGCCACTGCAGTTGGGGTACGAAGTGCCTAAATCGGTGCTAGCCATAATGGCTAGAATCAGTGATGAACAGCAGCAGATGTGCATAGGGCCGCTGCGACCGCTGAACAGCAAGAATCATTGGTGTCTGTACCATACGCTAACGCTAATAGCCCATGTGTTAATCGGTGATGCAAGAGTATTGAATGTGCTAGGAAGAGATAATCAGCAAATTCGTCTTAAATCTCATGGAAACGTGCTAAACCGAGGCGTCCACAATGGCAATTGTTGCAATCAACTAGATTATCATGGTGATGGTGTTTAAGAACAGAATCTTCCTGTGTACTGTAAGCTATATGTTTATAAATGTAATGAAGCGGTTCAGTTCCGAATGCGATGAACAGAGGATTGTCAAGGAGACGTTATGCTTACAATAGACTATTCATATTTCCCCTTATTAGATGGCCAGCGCAGCGGCCACAGGCCGCTAGTAGAGCCTATGAAGGTGAATCCGTGCTCTTCGAGACATCTCGTTCAGGACGTGTAAAGTTAGGCCAGTTGCAGGCCTATTCATATTTTTCACGAA